ACTACAGGTGTTGGCTGGTCATGTTACATTTAGATATGGCTGTATATGGCTGGGGCAAAGCCTAGCCGATAAAGGTGAATGGTAAATAGAGCAGAACGTCACATTTTTCTCAGCCTTGCAGTCACAATAAATAAAAGATTGTCAAGTTAGGGTCAGTGTTTCTTTCAGACATTTTTCTCCGGTGGCCGAAGGCCACTTGATATTTTCGGGGTCCTAGGTGCTTTGACCACAGGTGCTTTGACCATAGTGGGTTTGATCATAGGGGGTTTGACCACAGCGGAGCTTTGACCACAAAGGGGCTTTGGCCATCGGGAGTTTGACAATAGGGGGTTTGACCATAGGGGGTTTGACCACAGCGGGGTTTTGACCATAGGGGGTTAACCATAATATATAGATTTTAAAATAGATATTATAAATTGTTATTTGATTTAAATTTGTGATACAATTAATACGATTTTATACATATTTCCTGGGAGTCCATTAATGGAAATTAACGTACTGAAAAAAAGTTAAGAATATTTTAGTCTCCACATAACGGCTGGTGCTACGCTTCATAGAATTTATTTTAAATATAAATGGAAGATAAATAATGCGACATATAACAAGTTTCACAAATTAATAATGTAGATGTACTTGAAAATACATAAATAGAAAGGATAACAAAGGATAAAAAACATGCCAACAGTGTAGTCAAAGAAGTAACAATTGTATGGTTTAGATGACGTATATATATATATATTTATATATATATATATATATATATATATATATATATATATATATATATATATATATATATATATATACGTGTGTGTGTATATATATATATATATATATATATGTATATATATATATGTATATATATATATATATATATATGTATATATGTATATATATATATATATATATATATATATATATATATATATATATATATATATATATATATTTATATATATATATATATATATATATATATATATATATATATATATATATATATATATATATGATGAATTAACATATTATTATATCCTGCCGCAAATTAAAATTTAATTACACAACATTTAAAATAAATCATTACAATATATGGACAAAGCGCTTATTATCAAACGCCAGCATTGGGCAAACTACCTGTGAACAAAGACCCTATATGGACAAAAAACCCTGTGATCAGAGACCCTCTGCTGCGAAAACACCTGTAGTCAAATCCCCTATGGTCAAATCTCCGTTATGGTCAAACCCCCTATGGTCAAAGCACCTGTGGTCAAACGTCCGCGCACCGTTTTCGGAGGGGGCGGGCGGATTAAAATTTCCGTTGGAGTGGGTGGAAACTGGTAAAAGTATATATTTTCAAAAAAAAATTCCATTTCGTTCGGAGGCAGTATAAGCAGCCCCCCCCCCCCCCCCTCCCTTCGAAGAGATGTCTAGAAGAAACTCTGGTTAGGATGAGCAGCACAGCTAATTGTCAACCTATTTCTTCTGTAATAAATTACAAGGCATCTCGTCCCGTTCTAAAAACTCATCTTGACGTGCAGAAAATACTAAACTGATCGCCTGTTAATGGCCAAAGTTACTAGAAATAATAAAAGAGTTACTTCGTTATTATGGATCGGAAATTTAAAATGCATTTATAAAGAAATTTTTAAGGTCCATACAAAAAGGAATAATACTCTTAATTGAAATTAGCTTTGGATAATAGAAACGATGACATGTACGACTAAAGATAGACTTCATTGCAAAAAAAAATGTGGATGACCTATATCTAAGGTGTTGTCGGTGCCCGATCATTGATCAAATACAACTAAGGTCACTCCTTGATTTCGAAAAGCATTTTTTTTAGGTAGAAACTATTTTCTTAGTCGTAAAAAAAATTAAATTATTTTAATGTAATTTTTTTAAATTTCTTGGTTCACATCATCGTTATTTTTTCTTTATATAAACCTCAGTCCGGGGGTTATTATCCGGGGGGGTTCATATCGCTGGGGGTTTTTGTCCAGGGGGTTTATGTCGCGGGGGGTTTTTGTCCAGGGGGTTTATGTCGGGGGTTTATGTCCAGGTGGTTTTTGTCCAGGGGTTTTTTGACCGGACACCTGCAACGTTCGAAGCTGTACATGCAACGTCCTGTCCCTTGGGTCCATCAGCTTTGTGGAGAGAAGGGGCCTTGACACATGGGCAACATCTAGGTCTACTCATTTTAGGGCCCAGACTTTGTGCTTGGATTTTCGAATGCGCGAACATTCAAAGGTCTTTTAGAATAAGAAGTCATATATTTTATATTATTAGGATTTAAATAGAAATGTTTTAAAAACCTTAATTTTAGCTTCATGAACGTTGACAAATTATTTTTTTAAGTTTTCAGAAGAGACCTTAGTGTACGGTAACAAGCTGTCAATCGATCGACAGCTTGTTTGCAATAGCTTATTTTTATACATATGTTTTTCATCAGAAAATAGAATATTTTCTACAGGCTGGTTAAGAAATTTATTCGTATAAAAGTTATATCTAAAGAATAATGAAAATGTACATAGAGGTAATTGTCACAAACACCTATACGAGAAAATTTCTTCGAAATGAATTTATGCATTATTCGTAAACATGATCAAACGAACTGACAGCTTGAACAAAAACTGAATGTGAGTAGCGAGACAAATGTTGTGTAACTAGACAAAAGTTGTGTGAGCAGGTAGACAAACGTTGTGTCAGCAGGTTGACAAAAGCTGTGTGAATAGACAAAAGTTGTGTGAGTAGCTAGACAAAAGTTGTTTGAGCTGGTAGACAAAAGTTGTCCTAGATGGTAGACAAAAGTTGAGAGAGTAGGTAGACAAAAGTTGTGTGAATAGACAAAAGTTGTGTGAGTAGCTAGACAAAACTTGTGTGAGCAGGTAGACAAAAGTTGTGTGAATAGACAAAAGTGTGAGAAGCTAGACAAATGTTGTGTGAGCAGGTAGACAAACGTTGTGTCAGCAGGTTGACAAAAGCTGTGTGAATAGACAAAAGTGTGAGAAGCTAGACAAATGTTGTGTGAGCAGGTAGACAAACGTGTCAGCAGGTAGACAAAAGCTGTGTGAATAGACAAAGGTTGTTTTGAGTAGCTAGACAAATGTTGTGTGAGTAGATAGACAAAAGTTGTCTAAGCAGGTAGACAAAAGTTGTGTGAATAGGTAGACAAAAGTTGTGTGAGTAGGTAGTGAAAAGTTGTTTGAGCTGGTATACAAAAGTTGTGTGAGTAGGTAGACAAAAGTTGTGTGAGTAGGTAGACAAAAGTTGTGTGAGTAGGTAGACAAAAGTTGTGTGAGTAGGTAGACAAAAGTTGTGTGAGTAGGTAGACAAGAGTTGTGTCTGTAGTTAGACAAAAGTTGTATGAATAGACAAAAGTTGCCCGAGTAGCTAGACAAAGGTTGTGTGAGTGGAGAGACGAAAGTTGTGTGAATAATTAAGGGAGTCACTAGACAAACGTTATGTGGGTAGCTAAGCAAATATATTGTGAGCAGACAAAGCCGCATAAATTATTTCAAAATTTAACCACTCGTCTAAAAACGTATAATTATTTTTATAATATATAGATTGAGGATTCGACCTCAACTAAATATTCTTCTGCGTTCTAAATAATATTTAAGTGTATCTTCCTTATCAATTTTTAATGCAAATAATGTTTTGATCTCGAAAACGTTATGCAATTATTTCACTGTTAGTTATGCACAATTTTAATATATATAACGACCGCTAGTCGTTACATGCATCTCCGACTTCAGAAAGGGAAGCCTAAATAGAAACTAACAGATCTGCTAAGAATGACGTCATGTTACTGTCTAACACTCTTGCTGCTGATATCCTGTAAGACCAGTACAGCAGACGACAACAATTTGGAATCTCCAGGTACGTGTTATATAGTTACAAATATGTATGGAGGACTGAGGCTTATCGTTCAGAGCACGGAATCCGAACTCTAGACTTTCGGGTAAGCAACCATACGCTCTACTATTCATCTACACCCTCGAACGAAATCGTCTTTCATTTTTTTCATATTTAAAAGTTAGAGGTTTTTTCCGTCAGTTTTCTACTTTCGGCGATGCATTTAAAGTAAAGAATCCTCTTTAGACCTAGCAATCCATTGGACAGATGAATTAGTGTTCATATGTTTCTTGACCTCGACTTAAGAATGGAAGTGTAGTCAGTACTTTGCCTAGCCGCCTCTACTTCCCCTAACTTGAGTTAGGTATCCATCAGAGCCGGGTGGACTCATGGGATGTTCTACTGACATGGACCCGGATTCGAACTCGAGCCTTTCGGGTTAGCAGTTTAGCGCTCTACCGCTTAGGCCACGTAGAAGCCTAGGTATAGTTTTACAGGTAAGTTGAGGTTAATGTCCGTGTCTAGGAGCACATCGAATACTCAGGTAAAACTACCGAGAACATACGTTTTCTTCGTTCATATTTCTTTGCCGTCGATTGGGAAAGACTAAGACTATACAGTTTACGACATAGTTGGTTTACCAGTCAAAATATTTCGCCTAAACCGTTACATGCCTCTGTTTTCCAGAACATTCTGACGCATTTCTAAAGCTGCTGAACGTGTTCAATGGCAAGTTTTCTGACAACAGACAGGTGGAAGCTTACAAAAGTATGGATGACCCTGACCTTGAAGTTCCTGCTTCTGTTTATGTCTTGTCTATACCGGTAGAAATACCAGCTTTGGCACCGGTAGGAAATATACTAAATGTAATATCATGATGAGGTTATGTCAGTGTAGTGTCTGTATCAATGTTTCTTTTTTCAGTGACATGTGAATGTAATGTCAGTGTCATGCCCGATGTATTTTAGTGTTATGTCAGTGCTATGGCAGTGCTTTGTCAATGTCATATTAGTATCATGTTAGTGTCACGTCAGTGTCACGTCAATGTCGTGTCAGTGTCAGTGTCACTTGAGTGTGATATTGGTGTCACATTTTGAGAATTTATGTCGTTTTGTCGATCAGTATCGAAGTTTTAAATCAGCGTCATGCTAGCACAGAATTCCTCATTGAAACAACCTAGTCGTTATAGTAGTGTAAACCTGTCATATATATATATATATATATATATATATATATATATATATATATATATATATATATATGCATATGTATTTATATACTATATTTAGTTATTTATTTATAATAACATATACATATGTATAGATATTTATTTATTTTTTATTTTTTGCTAAAACATAAAATAATATTAAAATATCTTTTTTAAAACGACCAATCTTGAAAAGTATCGTGCATTATATATATATATATATATATATATAGACAAATTAATTATAACACCACTAGACCGCCTTGTTTTGTGATCATATTACTAAAACCACCCTCAAAAGCAGTAAACTTTTCCTTCGAGTTAACACGTCAGAGCAGCATAAGTTAACCTTTCTCCTCTGTTACGCAGGCGGTCACGTACCTGTACGAACAGTACTACTTGGACACGCTACGTCGACGTCTGATCTGTGTCTTATGGGAAGACAAGAACGGGGAGATCTACATGCAACCTTACAACATCACCTCACCTCCTGATGACAGGTGCGGGTTAAATTAAACTTGCTTTTTTTCACAAATATAAATTTGTATTAACATTGTTTGTGACTACGACGCCAGAAATCATATAACAGCTTCTTACTATTTATCAATATAATTATGTAAACAAAGCAGGGTTCTTCTTCGTTTTAAATTGTATTCGTGTAGGCTACGGTATTTCCTCCAACACAATTAAGTATTGCGTATCAACTATTCTGTTTGGATTTGCTTCAATGACCTTTATCCATCAAAGAACAAACTACAAAGCAGCAGTTTATTTAATTTTGGAGTTTTCTTTCCTAGAAGAGTTGCTGTCCCCAGCTATCAATCCTCAACTCCCAGTGGGTTCGAACTCGAGACTTTTCGGTTTAGCTTCCTCGACTTGACCACGGCGATGCAAAGCAGTCTTGGAAACACATAAATGTGGTTTCATTACAAAGCCTTTTCAAAATTGTGCATTGCACACGTTTGATAATTCATACGTCTGCATAGTGACTATAGAAAAGTACATTACACGTCTAAAAACTTACTACTAAGACGATCTTATCCCATCTGAGATCTAAATAACGACCTGGCCCCATTAAAGATCTAATTAACGACCGCCCATCCCACCCCCCCCCCCCCCTCTACCCCGGGAGAAAGAAATCTGAAAGAAACACTGACAGCTATCACTCTCTGGTCACTAACAGAATAAACCCCAGGCGTTTGTATAACAAACATTTTTATAGTAGCTTTTAGTGTTTATTTTTATGAGTAATCGTTCTCGGACAAAATCCGAACAACACATTTTAAAACATTTTAAAACTAGATCAACAATTTACTTTTCTTTTGTGTGCTAATCTTTATCTAGCGTGATAAATAAAATTTTTAAAATATGGATGCTTATAAAATAATTGTAAACTGAGTATGAAGTAAACAAAAATATACATACTGTATAGCGAGTATTGTATGTATTTTAACAGTTTATATCTAATACATTTATTTGTATATAATGTTGTTTTTACTAAACTATTATGAAATCAGAGTACTTTTATACAATTTTTCTTGATTTCAACATGAACTAGATAGTTTATTCCAATTTGCATTTATTTAGAACCAAGCCGATCTCACTTAACCAAATCAAGAAGTTGACCCCAAGTGACTTGACCACAAGAGAGGAGTGTAAGGTCAAGTTTCAGCGTAAAGGGACACAAACGTTCTTAGCTGTCTGGCCTGACTGTACCACTAATGATGACGGGGTGGGTTTACTAAAAAAATTGGAATGTTTAAAAATATTAAAAATGTAAATTAAAAATGATTGTAAGTATAATTATCATTACACTTCTTTGTACTCAGCTAGGAAAATTATAACATTTTAGCAAGAATTTTTTTTTAAAAAGCTATTCAACGTTTTAAAACCAACACGTTAGATCAAACTTTAGATCAATTGACACTAATAGTTTATTAAGACGACTAATATTATATTAAATATAGTATATGAGCGTAAAATAATCCATGATGAAACAACTCCAAATTGCAAACTTTACATTTGCAACCCACTATTACGTGTAATTTTTTATTGTCTATTCAGATTGTTCCCAATTATCAACTGACATGGTCCTGTAACTCAATGGTCGCCATAGCAACAAATCCTAATTCAGTGGAGTACACACCAGTCCCCATAATGCTTACTCGGGAAGGTCCTAGGTAAGTTAGACGTTCTCGAAGGTCATAATTAAGTAGGTAGCGTTCGTTAGGTCCTGGGTAAGTTAGTAGTGTTCGTGAGATCCTGGGTAAGTTAGTAGCGTTCGTGAGATCCTGGGTAAGTTGGTAGCGTTCGTGAGGTCCTGGGTAAGTTAGTAGCGTTCGTGAGGTCCTGGGTAAGTTGGTAGTGTTCGTGAGGTCCTGGGTAAGTTGGTAGCGTTCGTGAGGTCCTGGGTAAGTTGGTAGTGTTCGTGAGGTCCTGGGAAAGTTGGTAGAGTTCGTGAGATCCTGTGTAAGTTGGTAGAGTTCGTGAGATCCTGGATAAGTTGGTAGCGTTCATGAGGTCGTAGGTAAGTTGGTAGTGCTCGTGGGGTCGTAGGTAAGTTGGTAGTGTTTGTTTTCTAACGTCTCCAAGAAGAGAATTATATATATAGATTTTTGTTTTCCGACAGGTATCCTTTCCCACCGTACCTGAATGAAGCTAATGGCAAAGTTACCTGTTAGTAAAATGTGCATACAGAGCACGATGCTATTTAATCATCTTTAAAGTTTTGTGAAAAAAGCATGCTAATTTGGAAACATTTAAATTCAAGGTTTTTGTCATTAAACTGAAAAAAATTAAAATGCTAAACTTTACTATTGAATTGATTGTGTTGTTGTTTTTTTTTTATCTTTGATGTTGAATTTTTAAAAAAATTAAATTTTGCTTAGCAATATTATTTAATAAATACGAGCTTGTGGTTTGAGATCCTTTACAGGCTACGCTACTGTTAGTTGCAGTTTGAGATCCTCTAAAAGGATACTGTTATTTATGGTTTGGGATCATCTTGAGGCTCCTGTTATTTAGGGTTTGAGATCCTCTAGATGCTCTTGTTATTTGGGGTTTGGGATCCTCTGGATGCTCTTGTTATTTATGGTTTGAGATCCTCTAGATGCTCCTGTTAATTATGGTTTGAGATCCTCTAGAGGCTCCTGTTATTTAGGATTTGAGATCCTCTAGATGCTCCTGTTTAAAATAGTTTGAGATCCTCTAGATTCTCCTTTTAGTTATAGTTTGAGATCTTCTAGATGCTCGTGTTAATTATGGTTTGAGATCCTCTAGAGACTCCTGTTATTTATGGTTTGAGATCCTCTAGATGCTCCTGTTAATTATGGTTTGAGATCCTCTAGATGCTCCTGTTAATTATGGTTTGAGATCCTCTAGATGCTCCCGTTAATTATGGTTTGAGATCCTCTAGATGCTCCTGTTAATTGTGGTTTGAGATCCTCTAAATGCTCCCGTTAATTATGGTTTGAGATCCTCTAGATGCTCCCGTTAATTATGGTTTGAGATCTTCTAGATGCTCGTGTTAATTATGGTTTGAGATCCTCTAGAGACTCCTGTTATTTATGGTTTGAGATCCTCTAGATGCTCCTGTTAATTATGGTTTGAGATCCTCTAGATGCTCCTGTTAATTATGGTTTGAGATCCTCTAGATGCTCCCGTTAATTATGGTTTGAGATCCTCTAGATGCTCCTGTTAATTATGGTTTGAGATCCTCTAGATGCTCCCGTTAATTATGGTTTGAGATCCTCTAGAGCAGGGGTTCCCAACCCTGTGCTCGCGGGCGCAATGGCGCCCGCCGAACGATTCGTATGTGCCCGCCTCTCACTATTCGACAGAGACAGAATTTTTTCATAAACCTTATTGAAAGGGTGAAGGGGGATGGAAATTGAAAGTTTGAAAGTTTGAGGGGGAGGGGGGGGGGGGGTGCAAATCGAAAGTTTGACGGGGGGGTGCAAATCTAAAGTTTGAGGGGGGTGCAAATCGAAAGTTTGAGGGGGGGAGCAAATCGAAAGTTTTGGTCCCCAGGCGCCGGGAAGGGTCGCTACGCCTCTGGAAGGAGTTTGTCGATTTAAAATAGGTGGTGCCCGCCACCCTACCGATATTTTAGAATGTGCTCTAGAGTAAAAAAAAGGTTGGGAACCCCCTGCTCTAGAGGCTCCTGTTAGTTGCGGTAAAAGAGGTCTTTGCACATTTTAAGAGCAGGTATACAGAAGTTGTGTTAGCAGGCAGACAAAAGTTGTGTGAACAGGCAAATTGTGTATGTTCAGGTAGACAAAACTTCATCCATCAGAGTTCATCCAGCTCTGACGAATTGGATTTGCTCACATTGTCTTTTCTATTTCGTCCGGGGTAGGGGGGAGGCAGTGAACACGTCTGGGGTATGAACTTAGGTCATTTTGAGTTAGCAATCATTCGCTCTCCGGTCCAACCACGCATTTCGCAAAGGTTAAATTTTCAGAATATCTTATAAGCTAATAAGTGACATAAGCTTCAAGAATGCAATTACCTGAATGTGTTTTGCATTTCATAAATAAAATTAGACGCTCAAAGGGCAAATATTATTAGGAGAAGAGCAACATGTTGCAACGTTGTAATATGTGAGAACTCAAAAGCCTGGATATAAGCCATGCTAGCTCTAAGTCACGTTGTACGAATAAAATTATACCAATATTAGTCATGAATTAAAGGAATATAATTATGCTTAAAGTGTCGTTCATAAATGACGTCGTGTTTTTTTTTGTAACATGCACCACTCCTACCACTCTCTTTGTCACACGTCGTCAAAGAAATGACCGCACCCACTCCCCTAAAGTTGAACACTTCAACTCTTTTTCAAAATTTAAATGTTTGTTTTATGAAAGACGAAATCTTTCTCAGCTGAGCTGGGTGGGTGGCGTAGTTATAAAAAAGCAATGCTAGAAAAAAAACTTTTGCCGGTTTTTTTTTTCGCGTTTTAGAAAACTTTTTAATAAATTGTAAAAGGAATTGATTAAAATACTCTAAGCTGACCGAGTTCAGACAAGATTTTCGAAAAATATCGTATTTTAACAAAAAGTCAACGGCAATTTTGAGGGGGATTGTAGGCTGAGGTGTGACGTCATTTTAGGAGGGTTGTGACGAAGTGTGACTAAAGGGGGGGAGGTAATAATCGTCCAAAAAAGCGTGACGTCATTTATAATGACCCCCTAAACCAAAAACTATTCACTATAATGTTATTTTTAAGTCTTTAATATGAGGGTCTCCAAGTTGTTGAATATACGTTATTTTTTTAAGTTTTTAGTATTAGTTTCAGCAGCTTTTAGAATCTACCAAACTATAATGCACTTTTTTAAGATTTTAATATTAGGTTCACCAGGTTGTAGAATCTACCAAACTACAATGTACTTTTAGCGCAATTTCCATACTGGAATTGCGATCATTAATTCGTCATTTCTGGATGTGTGTCCGCAGCTTTACCGCAGCTTTAAGTCGTATCTCCTCCTCAACGAAGAAATATCGAGGACTAGTTTCAAAGCAAATATGTTAATCAAGTTCCGAGGATGATTGTGGGCCAAAAAAATTCCCGGAATTCCTTCCTGGATTTCCCGGAAAAGCCAAAAAACCTCGGAAAAAATGCAGTTTTTGGCCCATATCTCGGCAACCAGACCACTTAGCGACTTGAAACATATACCAATCGATTCCTGTCATAATTTAGAACAATATTGCCGAAGAAAGTTTTCAAAAATATCCTTTCGTTCGGTCACAAAAAAAATTAAAATTTCATTATACATAATACACTACAGTACTATATAGCAATATAGAGAGCGCGACAACTAAATACCCCCTACACGTCCGCAAATTTTTTTTCAATCTCGTTAATAAATATTTTTTCTATTTTGTTTTGAATTATTAAAACTACTTGTGTTGCATTATTTATTTGCTGAATATATGATTTATCTCGATTTAAAATTGTTATGGATAACATAAGGAAATTGCGCTTAAATTGTCACTAGTCTTTTTATTAACTTGTTTTAGTTTGTAATATTAACTAACTCTGTTAACAATGAGTGATATTTTTTTTCTATTTAAAATTTATAAATTTGTAATACGTCAGGAAAGAAAAACAAAAAAAACTCTCTACTCCTCCATATGTAACACTATTTCCTGACGCACCACAGGATGACATATTTTTTGTAACATAACAAACCTAATAATTGTCATAATTTTTGGAAAAGTTGCCTGAATAATGGTATAATATACAGTTACGCCAACCGGTTATGGTAAAAATATTATAGAATTACGACAGCCTGCTAAAGATCAAATATATAGAAATACTTCAAACGGTCAAATAATGTTGTATTACGGCAGCCTGCTACATTATAGGACAAAGTTTCGGGCTGTTAACTGTCATATATTTTGGAAATAGATTAAACCCGAAGATGAAACATAGGGATTAAAACACTGAAAATGTGAGTCCGTTCTGATGCCACGGGTTTAACGGTAACATTTTACAGCCGCACCTCGTGGTTCTAAATTGTCATTAACATAACTCATTAGCGGGTTATGGATTAAAGCTTTAAGACCCGCAATGAAAAAAAAACTATATAATTGGTTGTGTATAGCTTGAGCGATACGAAGGGCCTTTTATGTACATGTCCGCAGAACCCTCTCACAAAGATGACGTTACTCTGTGGTCTGACAGTATTGCTGATGTTTACCTGTACCCCAAGTTACGCAGACGATGAAGCTGTGGGATCTACCGGTATGTCTGGCATATTTCCTTCTCATATTATTTACATCTGTTTTTTCAGGCTGAAATCGAAGTTAACGGCCTATATGGCGCATAACAAGTTGACACGTAAACTTAATTGTGTTGCAGGGGATCCCTTTCAACACTAAAATTAAGAACGAAGAAGAAGAAGAAGAAACCCACCTATAATCATAGTTAATTTGAGTACGAGCCTCACTGGAAAGTCTGGGTAAAAATCGTTCCATTAGAAATGGATCAAAACTGTGTTACCAGGTTTAACCAAACATTCACATGCAAATATCCGCCTGGACACTTAAGTCAAGACGTGTCAAATATAAAGCCATTAATAATCAGCGTATTTTTTTTCTAAATCTTATGTAGACTACGTGTTGTATTTTTATATTCAGGTTATTCTGAAGCCTTTTCCAACCATCTGTACGTATTTCCTTAATTCCCAGGTTATTCTGAAGCCTTTTCAAACCTTCTGTACGTATTCCCTTAATTCACAGGTTATTCTGAATCCTTTTCCAACCTTCTGTACGTCTTCAATGGCTACTTCACGGACAGACGCCAGGTGGAGGCGTACAACAACATCGACAACCCGGACCTGGACAAACCCTTCTCGGCTTCTGTGCTCTCTAGGCCTGTCGAGATCACAGCTCTGGAACCGGTAAGGAAATGTTGTGTCATGTCAGTGTGATGTCTTTGTGAAGTCAGTATCATGTCAGTCTCATTAAAATGTTATGTCATGTCAGCGTCATGTCAGCGTCATGTCAGTGTCATGTCAGTGTCATGTCAGTGTCATGTCAGCGTCATGTCAGTATCATGTCATTGTCATGTCAGTGTCATGTCAGTGTCATTACAGTGCCATGTCAGTGCCATGTCAGTGTCATGTCAGTGTCATGTCAGTGTCATGTCAGTGTCATGTCAGTGTCATGCCAGTGTCATGTCAGTGTCATGTCAGTGTCATGTCAATGTCATGTCATTGTCATGTCATTGTCATGTCATTGTCATGTCATTGTCATGTCATTGTCATGTCATTGTCATGTCATTGTCATGTCATTGTCATGTCATTGTCATGTCATTGTCATGTCATTGTCATGTCATTGTCATGTCATTGTCATGTCAGTGTCATGTCAGTGTCATGTCAGTGTTATGTAAGTCTCTTTACATTCTTTTTTTTTACTAAACCACCAATTTAAAAAAAAATCTTTAAATGCTATGGAACAAATTAAGTACATGTTTTTAGTCCATGTCGACAACAATTGTCGGATCCATCTCAGCTAATAGGATCGTAGCCATTCGTAAAACTAAATCAGCATCCACTATCTTATCGATTAGAAAAACAAAGTCTAGCGATAGGCTTAAATAGATTATTGGAAAAGAAACCATTTTAAAAGAGAGCTTTACAGTAATAGTATAGTTCATACGGTAATCTTGTTGAAGCTTTAATACTTATATAATGTTGTTCATTTAAGCATAACGTCATTCACCTACTTGTCTGAACTAGTTTTCAACATCTCTTCATAAGGCGACCTACTTGCTTGAACTTATTTTTCACCTAAATATCAATAATGTTTTAGACAGTTACTTATTTGTCTGACCTTTCAAACCTTACGGACTACGTGGCAAGTGAAGTAGAAATCACTTGTCTCTGCGAACTCGGCATATGAAGGGACAGTGTCTGACCTAGTTGTCAATTAATTATGTTTCAGGCGGTGACCTACTTGTACGAGGAATACATAAAAAACCAGATCCGTCGACGTCTGATCTGTGTCATATGGCAAGACGACAACGGGGAGATCTACCTTCAACCTTACAACATCACCTCTCCTCCCAACGACATGTAGGTAGCATTTCATTGTTTTAAGGTATTTTATTGATTTCACTGATGTAATTAGGAATAGCAATGTATCATACATTTTGCTTTCCTTTTTTTTTTTTACTTTTGTATCGGTTAACATTAAGATAACTTCTTACTAATATTAAATTGTATAACTTTAAAAAATCCTTTTCCATAAATTGCAAATAATTAAATGTGTGTGTATATATATATATATATATATATATATATATATATATATATATATATATATATATATATATATATATATATATATATATATATATATATAGATATATTTATATATATATATATATATATATATATATATATAGGCATATATATATAGGCATATATATATATATATATATATACATATATATATATATATATATATATATATATATGTATATATATATGTATATATATATATGTATATATATATATATATATATATATATATATATATATATATATATATATATATGCCTATATATATATATACATATATATATATATGTATGTATATATATATATATATATATATATATATATATATATATATATATATATATATATATATATATATATATATATATATATATATATATATATATAGGCATATATATATAGGCATATATATATACATATATATATATAAATATATATGTATGTATGTACATATATATATATATATATATACATATATATCAAATGGGTGTATCTTAAAGCAAAAAGCTCATTGTACCACCATTACAGGTCCAAGCCGTTCACACTTGACCAGATCAAGCAGTTGACCCCAAGTGATCTGACCACTAGAACCGAATGTAAAGTCAAGTTTCAACAAAAAAGTGCCCGCACATTCACAGCCTACTGGCCTGACTGTGCTGTCGAGGTGGGTTGTTGTCTGGCTCAATGTCAGTGTTTCTTCCAGACTTTTTTCTCCTGAGGGGGGGGGGGGCACTTGAATTATTATTTTTTTGGGGGTGGACCGAAATTGGAGGGGGGGGGGGGACACTGTTAAAAGTTTATATTTTCTATATAAATTCAATTTCGTTCGGAGGGGGGGCGGTAGACTTTATTCGGAAAAGGCGGAGCTCCCTCCCCCCCTCCCCCCCCCCCCCCCCCCGAAGAGATACCTGGAAGAAACTCTGCTCAATGCTGATTTGTTGTTAGCTTGCGGTGGTCAAATGTGTTGAGTGGAAGTGTGGTCAGTATTATTTGTTTAATGGACGTACCGCCATTTTGTTTATTCAGTGTGACATGTAGCCAGCATTATTGTCTTTGTGGCCAAAATGTTCCTTTAGTAGTTCTTATGGCCAGTAACATTGTGTGGCCAAAATGTTTATTCAGTATGAAATGTGGCCAGAAACATTGTCTGTGTGGCCAAAATGTTGCTTTAGTATAAAAGGTGGCCAGAAATTAAGTTGGCTGAATTGCCAAAAAGTGCATGCATTAGATCATGTGACCAAAAACATTGACTGTGTGGCCAAAATGTATATTTAGCTGGACATCTGGCCAGAAACGTTGGCTATAAATGTGAGCCAAACGCGATTGATGTGAGTGCGTTGAAAAACGCAACGAACCAATTAAAGAGAAACAAAATTCCTTTCAGAATGCGCCCATGTACCAGCTGACTTGGTCTTGTAACTCAATGGTAGCCATCTCGATAGATGCTAAGGAGGTGGAGTATGCGCCCATTCCCATCATGCTTACCAAAGAAAGTCAGGGGTAAGTGGTAGAAGGCCAGGGGTAAGTGGTAGAAGACAAAAGTGGTAAGTGGTAGAAGGTGAGGGGTAAGTGGTAGAAGGCCAGGGGTAATTAGTAAAAGACAAAAGGTGTAAGTGGTAGAAGGCCAAGGGTAAGTGGTAGAAGGCCAAGGGTAAGTGGTAGAAGGCCAAGGGTAAGTGGTAGAAGGCCAGGGGTAAGTGGTAGAAGGCCAGGGGTAAGTGGTAGAAGGCCAGGGGTAAGTGGTAGAAGGCCAGGGGTAAGTGGTAGAAGGTGAGGGGTAAGTGGTAGGGGGCCAGGGGTAAGTGGTAGGGGGCCAGGGGGAAGTGGTAGGGGGCCAGGGGTAAGTGGTAGAAGGTCAAGGGTAAGTGGTCGAAGGTCAAGGGTAAGTGGTAGAAGGTCATGGGGTAAGTGGTAGAAGGTGAGGGGTAAGTGGTAGGGGCCAGGGGTAAGTGGTAGAAGGTTAAGGGTAAGTGGTAGAAGGTCAAGGGTAAGTGGTAGAAGGTCATGGGGTAAGTGATAGAAGGTCAAGGGTACGTGGTATAAGGTCAAGGGTAAGTGGTAGGGGACCAGGGGTAAGTGGTAGAAGGTCAAGGGTAAGTGGTAGAAGGTCAAGGGTAAGTGGTAGAAGGTCAAGGGTAAGTGGTAGAAGGCCATGGGTAAGTCTTTTATAAAATTACTACAAATTGGAATCAAGCGACTCTTTTTTTTAAAACAAACTCTTAGAAACATAATTGGTATAATAATAATAAAACATGAGGGGGTTAACGTAATTAAATGACTTTAGAGTGAGATTCTATAATTAAAATCTTCCTCAAACACCAAAGTAGTGTTGTGAGTTACCTGGATTTATTTTTTTTCTTTCTTTTCGCGATAGTGGTATTGTTACGTACTTAAGAGAGGGGGACTGACACACATAACAGTCAATTTCCATTTTCTGACAAAAAGGCCCGTTTGGTATACGAAGTAGAGTTATTCTGTTTCTTTGACTAAAGAATTCGAACGGAGAATAAAATCACAACCATTCCTATAAGCAACTACCTTTCTAGAAATCAAGTCAAACACCGATTAAGTAAAATACCCATTAAGTCAAATAACCATCAAGTCAAATAATCCTCAAGTCAAATAAGCATCAATTCAAATACCCATTAAGTTAAATACCCATTAAGTTAAATACCCCCACAAGTCAACTACCCATCTGAGCTAAATGGAGTAAGATACAGCCCTGTAGAACATGATGGTTAACTCATAACTATAGTGTTTGCTCTACCCCTCGGCCATGCCGTCGACCAAATATTATACAACTTAATTTATGTCTTTTTCAGAGGTCCTTTTCCCGAATATATTGAGGCGGAAATCCGCAAAGATCCGTGTTTGTAGTTTATCAACGCAAAGAAAGACAAAACCCCACAGATAGAAAATCAAATAAATTGAAACCTGAGTTCGACGTTAATCTACAAATTTCATACACCGAAACAAGCTTTTTTTTTTCTTTTAAAAAATATGTGACAATAAAGTTTTAAAGCGTATATGTTTTGTTTTATTTTATTCTGTCTTTAAATAATAGTATTAAATATATATATATATATATATATATATATATATATATATATATATATATATATATATATATATATATATACAATATATAACATATAATATATAAGGACACATGGGGCGAATGAAGTAGAGTTCATCTGATTCAGCGACCTCTGCATATGAAGGTGTAGTGTAGTCAACACTATGCACCGCTGCCTTTGCTTTTCTTAACGTGAGTTAGGTACCCATTTATGCTGGGTGGGCTCAGTGACTTTTTAGCTCTATTTAGCTATGCCACGTCGTACATATATATATATATATATATATATATATATATATATATATATATATATATATATATATATATATAATCATATATGATATAAAAGTATCATACTTTATAGAACATTGAGTTCTAACTCTCTTCGTCCAAAAGCTCCAAAAATAGATTTAATTCGCCACTGACTCTTGCTAAACATAAAAATGGGATGGAATCAGACATTGTTAATAAAATAGCAAAGTGAACATAAATTATTATTTCAATAACAAAAGTAGACATTGGTACGTAATATAGTAACTGTGACTTTATTACGTACCTATGTCTACCTTTTCCATTGAAATAATACTTTATGTTTACATAGCTAATTGACGCTGGCCAATGTAATCGTCAATTTTGTTTTGATTCTGTGGTTAGATTTTGTTTGTAAGACGGGTCCTAGTTTACTTAAAGTTCAATGATGGTAATTTAGGTATTCTTTACTAATGGTGATATAATGATATTGTACATATGGTGATACGGTGTCTTTGCAATGATGTTAATACTGTAATGATGGTGATAGCGTGATATTCTTATCATTGTGAATTAGGTATTATACTCAGCTAATGGTGATATAATGATACTCCACATATGGTGATGCGGTATCATTTCCTTGATAGAAATAATGACGGTGAAGCGTTGCTACACTTCTGATGACAATACTGTACAGATACTGTTGTACTCTATTACTTGCGATAAGGTGATACTCTAATGATGAGCTAATGGTAATAAGCTAGTGGTAATGCGATGATACTCTACTGATGTAAGCGTACGTAGATAACGTGATAGTGTACTCTGTCAAGGATACCAAGATACTGTACTGTTGGGGACATGCTACTGATGGTGGCACGGTACGTATGGTGATACGGTACTGATGGTGATGCTGTACTTTTGGTGACATGCTACTGATAGTGACATGGTGCGTATGGTGATGCTGTACTGATGGTGATACTATACTGTTGGTGACATGCTACTGATGGTGATACGGTGATACAATACTGATGGTGATTCAATACTGATGGTGATACGACACAGATGGTGATACATTACTTATAGTGATACTGTACTGATGGTAATACTGTACTGATGGTGATGCTGTACTGATGGTGAAATGGTGATACTGTACTAATGGTGATACATAGACAATCTACTAATGATTATACTGAACTGATAATTATGCGTTTTAAAGTGTACATATATTGATATTAATAATGATATTGTAATTCTAGTAAAAAGGTGAGTAGTTTTGGTGATACGGTATCTCTGTACTGATAAGTAAGTTGATATTGATATGAAGGTGACACGGTGGTACTGTTTTATTGGAAAGATGTGGGTACTGGTCTAAATGCCATGCTGCACTGATGGTCATACTGTGTTACAGTACGACGGTGACACGTTGACAGTGTAATGATGGTGATACGGCACAGATGGTGATACAATGATATTCTATACATGGTGATAGAGTGAAACAGGTGTAGTGGACGCGTTAAAACCGATGGTCTCATTTGGTGGTGGCTCTTTACAGCACGTTGGGGTGAGGTGTGGTATTTGTAAATACATGATGATGTGAGTGGTAGCTACATGATAATGAAAGTGGTAAATAGATGATGTTGTGAGTGGTAACTAGATGATGTTGTGAGTGGTAACTAAATGATGATGTGAGTGGTAGCTACATGATAATGAAAGTGGTAAATAGATGATGTTGTGAGTGGTAACTAAATGATGATGTGAGTGGTAGCTACATGATAATGAAAGTGGTAAATAGATGATGTTGTGAGTGGTAACTAAATGATGATGTGAGTGGTAGCTACATGATAATGAAAGTGGTAAATAGATGATGTTGTGAGTGGTAAGTAAATGATGATGTGAGTGGTAGCTACATGATAATTCAAGTGGTAAATAGATGATGTTGTGAGTGGTAACTAAATGATGATGTGAGTGGTAGCTACATGATAATGAAAGTGGTAAATAGATGATGTTGTGAGTGGTAACTAGATGATGATGTGAGTGGTAACTAGATGATGTTGTGAGTGGTAACTAGATGATGATGTTGTGAGTGGTAACTAGATGATGATGTTGTGAGTGGTAACTAGATGATGATGTTGTGAGTGGTAACTAGATGATGTGAGTGGTAACTAGATGATGTTGTGAGTGGTAACTAAATGATGATGTGAGTGGTAGCTAGATGATAATGAAAGTGGTAAATAGATGATGATGTGAGTGGTAGCTAGATGATGATGTTAGTGGTAGCTAGATGGTGATGTTAGTGGTAGCTAGATGATGATGTGAGTGGTAACTAGATGATGATGTGAGTGGTAGCTAGATGATGATGTTAGTGGTAACTAGATGATGATGTGAGTGGTAACTAGATGATGATGTGAGTGGTAACTAGATGATGATGTGAGTGGTAGCTAGATGATGATGTTGTGAGTGGTAACTAGATGATGATGTGAGTGGTAACTAGATGATGATGTGAGTGGTAACTAGATGATGATGTGAGTGGTAGCTAGATGATGATGTTGTGAGTGGTAACTAGATGATGATGTTAGTGGTAGCTAGATGATAATGTGAGTGGTAACTAGATGATGATGTGAGTGGTAACTAGATGATGATGTGAGTGGTAGCTAGATGATGATGTTGTGAGTGGTAACTAGATGATGATGTTAGTGGTAGCTAGATGATAATGTGAGTGGTAACTAGATGATGATGTGAGTGGTAACTAGATGATGATGTGAGTGGTAGCTAGATGATGATGTTAGTGGTAGCTAGATGATAATGTGAGTGGTAACTAGATGATGATGTGGGTGATAATTAGATAATGATGATGTGAGTGGTAACTAGATGATAATGAAAGTGGTAAGTAGATTATGATGTTAATGGTAGCTAGATGATGATGTGAGTGGTACTAGATGATGATGTGAGTGGTAACTAAATGATGATGTGACTGGTAACTACATGATAATGAAAGTGGTAAATAGATGATGTTGTGAGTGGTAGCTAGATGATGTTGTCAGTGGTAACTAGATGATGATGTGAGTGGTAACTAGATGATGATGTGAGATGATTCGTTTCAAAATTGGCACGTGGGAAATCCTTGAAGGAAATGCAATCTGACATTAAATTTGTCTCAATTGGATGCCTAATTAATTTTTTCTGAATTTTTTTTATAAATTTGTCCAAATTAGAATGCAGAACTATCGAACAATTATCCAACAACTCTGCCCTATTATATGCGCTTTATGATATTCATTAGTTGCGCAACAGTTTTTAGTCATGCAACTCACTGTAAAAAAAATTAAGTACTGAAAAATTGGTTTATAAAAAACGTTTTAATAACAATTTTTTATATAATATTGCACTAAAAAGTACAACATAAATTATTAGTGTATTATAATATATAATATTAATAATAGTAGTGTATTATTATATACTTAACGAAAATCGTTAAATTTTTTTAGTTTTTAATGCATTATTACATAAAAGCTTGCTACTAAAAACGTTTTTTTATGATTTTTTTATGTTAATGAACCAGAACACATGTTGCACAACACGTGTCATCGAGTCAAAGTTTGTTTCGTTTCTATGCCAAACCGAGCCCCCTAAATTTTACATTTTGTAATCGTATGGGCTTAAGAATATTTGTAAGCTGTCTGTTTTAAAACTGATCAAACAAATTCTGTCAGTCCGGGGGCTTACCTTGTCAAATAGGGACAAGGTCAATGGCGTCAAACTTAAAAGTATTTTAGTTGTTTTTTTTAAGCAATTTGTATTAGTAATTAAAAGTAAAATGTCTACTCTTTAGACCTAGATATAGGCCCTATATTGGGCAGATGAAAAAGAGTTTATGTTTCTGTGACCTCGACATATGAAAGGAATGTGTGGTCAGCACTTTGCCCAGCCGTCTTTACTTTCCCTAACATGAGTTAGGTACCGATCAGAGCTGGGTGGACACAGGGACGATATACTTACTTGAAGAAGTAATTAGAAGTTGTTTTTTTAGAACATTGCTGTAAAAACTAAAAGAACATTAAATTATTGACGATTGCGTTAAAAATTAAAGTACTTTATTCAGACCATGTGTGTTTATGGGGTTGAAGTAGAGTTCACCTATTTCTGTAAACATTGGATGTTATGTGTTGTAATGTTGCTTTTTTTATTGTTAAGAACTTTTGAATATATTAACTTAAATCACAGCTCATGCTAAAGCCAACACATATGAGTCTTCACAAATAGTAAACAATCTATTGTACAAAGGTAGATATTTTTTAAAAGGGGATGTAACTCTATACATATAAATTGAGTTTAAAAATCTAATGTCATTTGTATTAACACGACCAGCGCTTCGCCAGTCGCGTTTACATTACCTGACTCTGTCAAGGTCTTAAAATTGGCCTTGGAAATCGAGCATTGTTAATGCATTAAAAAACGATTCTTAGGTAGTCGCATGTATGTAAATACAATTCTTTTTTTTTTCGTCATGTCATAAAGCTGGAAAAACTATATTACTAACCCCCCCCCCCCCCACCCTGATAATTAACCCCTATCATGTCTCACGAAATTATCCCTACCCCCTCCACCACCACCATGTTAAGTATGGGACGGAGTGACCAAGCAGTAGAGCGTTAGACTGCTAACGTGAACGTCTCGAATTTGAATTCAGTTTCTTCCAGGTATCTCGTCGGGGGATGGGGGGGGGGCTCCGCCCCCCAAAGAAAGACTACCGCCCCCCCCCCCTTGAAAATATCAAGTGCCCCCCCATCCGGAGAAAAAAGTCTGGAAGTAACACTGAATTCAGGTTCAAGCTAGTGGAACGTCTATGAGAACACTCAGCCCACGTTAGGGAAAGTAAAGGCGACTGAGCAAAGTGCTGACCACATTATCCCTTTATATGCCGAGGTCAAGAAACAAATAAACTCTATTTCATCTGCCCAATGGATTGTTGGTTCTCAAGAATCGTTACTTTTATCACCGCTTCCCTCGTCAATTTATTTTAAACCGAATTTGAGCGGCTCATATGCATTTTTTAAAAATGTTATTTTTCTATCTCGTATACGAGAAAGTGATGCAATAGAGATTTTGTAAAATCTTGACGCGTGTGTGTGTGTCAGTATTTGTCTCTGTGGGACTGTGTGCGCCTGTGTATGTATGTGCTTATGTATGTATCTGTCTGTAGTGTCTATCTTGTCTTTGTGTCTCTGTGCTTGTGTCTGTGTTTACTGCTGCGAATGTTTCTGTGTGTGTTTCTGCGTGTGTCTGTGTGTATGTGTGTATGATGTGACAGTCTGTGCGTGTGTGGGTAGCTAAATGTGCGACTGTCTATCTGTCTGTCTTTGTGTCTGTTTTGCAAGAAATTGTCAGCCAAGGCAAAAACTAATCGCAAAATTTCAATATCAAACTCTGAGTATCTTTCTGTTGAGTCATGACCTTCATCGCACTACTAATTTATTACATCATATTATATTAAATTTGCTTAAGCCAGGCTAATACTTTGTGAGGTGAGTCCAAAAAAAATATGTTATAAACGCATTAAGAACTTGTCATTTTACCACTAGTTTCAAGACACAGTGAGTATTATAGTAGAACCAATATGCTTATATGTGACACTAAAGTTTGATACCATTAGTCTAAAAGGATTAACATCAAAAGTATGTAATGTATCTAGGTCTGTGACATATTTTATAGAGGTTTTTTTATTACATCTCAACGTCATGGGCGGACTCAGAATGTTTTGGTGTAAGGGAGGGAATATTTTAGTAACCACCCAATTCAAAGGCGAGTTGCGGTACTTAACCCCACCAATTATTTGTTATATGTGTATGTATGTTTGTATATAATATATATATATATATATATATATATATATATATATATATATATATATATATATATATATATATATATATGTATATGTATATATATATATGTATATATATATATATGTATATATATAGATATATAGATATATATTTACGTGTGTGTGATATATGTGTGATATATATATATATATATATATATATATATATATATATATATATATATATATATATATATATATATATATATATATATATATTTATTTATATATATATATATATATATATATATATATGTGTGTGTGTGTGTGTTTGTGTGTGTGTGTGTGCTTATGTGCATATGTGCATATGTGCATATACCACATTTATTGTTATAGGTAAGTAAATTTCCGAATCAACCATCTTCCCTCAAATATAGATATTTGAAATTGCATAGTGAGCGCCACAATCGTGCCTCTCCCAAAATTACTAGACAGTTTTAACGGGTATCAAGGCAAGATATATAACAGTCAGAGTCAACTAAAAGTAAAGCTCCATATATATAGAGAGAGAACTTGTTTTTATTTTTTTTTAATATTTGAATACAAAACAGAGCACTGGTCTTCATGATAGTCTTACTTGTAAAATCTCTGACAGAAGATAAATTCAGAATTCGTATTCCCTGCTGTAAGATAACCTAGTAAATTTGTAATACTTTTTGTAAAATGGGCATACACAACAAAGATGTACATCACAATATATTCGTCTTTTTAAATAGTGCCTAAGTTTCTAGGATATTGGCTTGTTCTGTTCTGGAAGTTGAAAAAAGGCGAAGAAGAAAAATAAAACCAAGGAAAAAAATAACAACGTTGATGTTAATGCGCGTCCTTTATACATCCATCAATCCCTGCGTCTCTACAGTCTACGTAGTAGTTCGCTCTGCTTCACAAGCCTCTTCCACTTTGACTTGCCTCCTGTTTTCTTCCATACCTGGAATCCAAACTATCGTAGTTCCATCTTCACACTAACTATCATTCTTCGACGTGCTTTTTCTGGCCAATGTGCCGTCCTGGTGCGATGGAATCAAAACAGTCGCAGTTCCCAATTAACAAAATTTATCATTCGACCTTGTACGATAGGAAAATTTATTTTGTACAACATCCAACTGACCTTTGTTACTCAACTAGTTCAGAATGTGGGTAAAACGGTTGCTCACATAGAGGGGGTAATAATTTCATGAGTTGTTGTTTTTTTATTATTGTTTTGGGGAAGGTGGTTCCATAAAATAAAATATTTTTTTGAAACCCAAAATATTTGAAGGTGGATAAATAAGATTAAATAGATTAGCATTAAATTAATCCTACTGACGTAACAAATGCGCGGGTAAAATGAAAGCAACGTGTATAAATACCGGATCGTTTGTTAAGGAGCTGTATCTTCTGGGCTTCTGTTCTTCAACTGCTGCAAAAGTCTATCGGTGCTAGAGATATTCAAGGATGGAGAAATTTTGGTGCCTGACGGTATTGATGCTGATTGGGTGTGGGGCCTGTCGAGCCGATGACAATGTTGCGGACGCTCCTGGTAGGTGATGTGTAAACGGTCAACTGTTGTGGGGGTTTGTGTGTGATTTTGGTTGAGTGTGGTGTGTGAGTGTGTTGAGTGAGTGGGGTGTTTGTTTAGTGTTTTATGTGTCTGTGGAATATGTGTGTGGGTGTGTTTATGAGCTTGGTGTGTGAGGTGTGTGTGTGGAGATTGTGTTTGTGTGTGGGGACGTGTGTGTGTCTGAGTAGGTCTGTGTGTGTGTGTTTATGAGCGTGATGTGTGAGGTGTGTGTGGAGAGTGAGTCTGTGTGTTTGTGTGGGTCCTGTTTGTGTGTGTCTGAGTAGGTCTGAGTGTGTGTGTGTTTATGAGCTTGATGTGTAAGGTGTTTCTGGAGAGTATGTCTGTGTTTGTTTGTGTGGGTTGTTTGTGTGTGTCTGAGTCTGTCTGATTGTTTGTGTGTGTATTTATTAGAGATAAAAATTATATATTATCCATTGTCAACGCCCATGCCGGCTCTGATTCAGTCTATTATAGCCAGCCGTCCCACTATGTTACTGACCTCCAACAGGTCAGCCTTAATAGGTTGTGCTTGATTTGCTACCACCATGCTTACAACCATAACATGACTACCAATAACAAGAGAAAGTGTATAATGGGGTCGTCCATAAATGACGTCACACTCGTAGGGGGGAGGGGGTATCCGTAATTTTGTGACAGTGTGTGATGAGGGGAAGAGGGGGGGGGGGGTGTTCAGATGGTGTGACGTCACGTTTTTGAATTATAAAAAGCAATGTTAGAAAACGAATTTTAGCAGTTATTTCGTGTTTTAGAAAACTGTTTTAATCGAAATTGATTAAAATACTCTATGTTGACAGAGTTCAGACAAGATTTTGGAAAAATATCGATGTTTTAAGAAAAATTCAACTGCAATTTTCAGAGGGGGGGGTGGTTGTAGGCTGAGGTGTGACGTCATTTTAGGGGGGGGGTCTGGCTTTTTGTGACTATGTGTGACGGAGAGGAAGGGAAAGGCACAAATCGTCCCAAAAAACGTGACGTTTTTATGGATGAACCGTGTTGACAACCAACATACAGTGCTCCACTTTTACCTCCAGCCATTTCGTACAACCTGATGACTTTCTACACCCTGTTCAACGGTCAGTTCTCTGACCAAGTCGAGGTGGCCAGTTACCAGTCCAGTGATGCCAGTGACCCGGACAAACCGTTCCTGTCGGTCATCAAGTCGACGCCAGTTGAGATTCCCGCTCTGGGACAGGTAGGCACTTTTTAAAATCCCAATTTTATAGATACGGGACAGGTACACTTTTGATATCCCCACCCCCATAGATACGGGACAGGTACACTTTTGATATCCCCCCCCCCCATAGATACGGGACAGGTACACTTTTGATATCCCCACCCCCATAGATACGGGACAGGTACACTTTTGATATCCCCACCCCCATAGATACGGGACAGGTACACTTTTGATGTCCCCCCCCCCCATAGATACGGGACAGGTACACTTTTGATACCCCCCCCCCCATAGATACGGGACAGGTACACTTTTGATGTCCCCCCCCCCCATAGATACGGGACAGGTACACTTTTGATATCCCCCCATAGATACGGGACAGGTACACTTTTGATATCCCCACCCCCATAGATACGGGACAGGTACACTTTTGATATCCCCACCCCCATAGATACGGGACAGGTACACTTTTGATATCCCCCCATAGATACGGGACAGGTACACTTTTGATATCCCCCCATAGATACGGGACAGGTACACTTTTGATATCCCCACCCCCATAGATACGGGACAGGTACACACTTTTGATATCCCCACCCCACACAGATACGGTACAGGTACACACTTTTGATATCCCCACCGCCATAGATACGGGACAGGTACACTTTTGATATCCCCACCCCCATAGATACGGGACAGGTACACACTTTTGATATCCCCACCCCCATAGATACGGGACAGGTACACTTTTGATATCCCCCCATAGATACGGGACAGGTACACTTTTGATATCCCCACCCCCATAGATACGGGACAGGTACACTTTTGATATCCCCTCCCCCATAGATACGGGACAGGTACACTTTTGATATCCCCCCATAGATACGGGACAGGTACACTTTTGATATCCCCACCCCCATAGATACGGGACAGGTACACACTTTTGATATCCCCACCCCACACAGATACGGTACAGGTACACACTTTTGATATCCCCACCCCCATAGATACGGGACAGGTACACTTTTGATATCCCCCCATAGATACGGGACAGGTACACTTTTGATATCCCCTCCCCCATAGATACGGGACAGGTACACTTTTGATATCCCCCCATAGATACGGGACAGGTACACTTTTGATATCCCCACCCCCATAGATACGGGACAGGTACACACTTTTGATATCCCCACCCCACACAGATACGGTACAGGTACACACTTTTGATATCCCCACCCCCATAGATACGGGACAGGTACACACTTTTGATATCCCCACCCCCATAGATACGGGACAGGTACACTTTTGATATCCCCACCCCACACAGATACGGTACAGGTACACACTTTTGATATCCCCACCCCCATAGATACGGTACAGGTACACACTTTTGATATCCCCACCCCACACAGATACGGTACAGGTACACACTTTTGATATCCCCACCCCACACAGATACGGGACAGGTACACTTTTGATATCCCCCCATAGATACGGGACAGGTACACTTTTGATATTCCCACCCCCATAGATACGGGACAGGTACACTTTTGATATCCCCCCATAGATACGGGACAGGTACACTTTTGATATTCCCACCCCCATAGATACGGGACAGGTACACTTTTGATATCCCCACCCCCATAGATACGGGACAGGTACACTTTTGATATCCCCACCCCACACAGATACGGGACAGGTACACTTTTGATATCCCCACCCCCATAGATACGGGACAGGTACACTTTTGATATCCCCACCCCCATAGATACGGGACAGGTACACTTTTGATATCCCCCCATAGATACGGGACAGGTACACTTTTGATATCCCCCCATAGATACGGGACAGGTACACTTTTGATATCCCCACCCCCATAGATACGGGACAGGTACACACTTTTGATATCCCCACCCCACACAGATACGGTACAGGTACACACTTTTGATATCCCCACCCCCATAGATACGGGACAGGTACACTTTTGATATCCCCACCCCCATAGATACGGGACAGGTACACACTTTTGATATCCCCACCCCCATAGATACGGGACAGGTACACTTTTGATATCCCCCCATAGATACGGGACAGGTACACTTTTGATATCCCCACCCCCATAGATACGGGACAGGTACACACTTTTGATATCCCCACCCCCATAGATACGGGACAGGTACACTTTTGATATCCCCTCCCCCATAGATACGGGACAGGTACACTTTTGATATCCCCCCATAGATACGGGACAGGTACACTTTTGATATCCCCACCCCCATAGATACGGGACAGGTACACACTTTTGATATCCCCACCCCACACAGATACGGTACAGGTACACACTTTTGATATCCCCACCCCCATAGATACGGGACAGGTACACTTTTGATATCCCCCCATAGATACGGGACAGGTACACTTTTGATATCCCCTCCCCCATAGATACGGGACAGGTACACTTTTGATATCCCCCCATAGATACGGGACAGGTACACTTTTGATATCCCCACCCCCATAGATACGGGACAGGTACACACTTTTGATATCCCCACCCCACACAGATACGGTACAGGTACACACTTTTGATATCCCCACCCCCATAGATACGGGACAGGTACACACTTTTGATATCCCCACCCCCATAGATACGGGACAGGTACACTTTTGATATCCCCACCCCACACAGATACGGTACAGGTACACACTTTTGATATCCCCACCCCCATAGATACGGTACAGGTACACACTTTTGATATCCCCACCCCACACAGATACGGTACAGGTACACACTTTTGATATCCCCACCCCACACAGATACAGGACAGGTACACTTTTGATATCCCCACCCCCATAGATACGGGACAGGTACACTTTTGATATCCCCACCCCCATAGATACGGTACAGGTACACACTTTTGATATCCCCACCCCCATAGATACGGGACAGGTACACTTTTGATATCCCCACCCCCATAGATACGGGACAGGTACACTTTTGATATCCCCCCATAGATACGGGACAGGTACACACTTTTGATATCCCCACCCCCCATAGATACGGGACAGGTACACACTTTTGATATCCCCACCCCACACAGATACGGTACAGGTACACACTTTTGATATCCCCACCCCCATAGATACGGGACAGGTACACTTTTGATATCCCCCCATAGATACGGGACAGGTACACACTTTTGATATCCCCACCCCCCATAGATACGGGACAGGTACACACTTTTGATATCCCCACCCCACACAGATACGGTACAGGTACACACTTTTGATATCCCCACCCCCATAGATACGGGACAGGTACACACTTTTGATATCCCCACCCCACACAGATACGGTACAGGTACACACTTTTGATATCCCCACCCCCCATAGATACGGGACAGGTACACACTTTTGATATCCCCACCCCACACAGATACGGTACAGGTACACACTTTTGATATCCCCACCCCCCATAGATACGGGACAGGTACACACTTTTGATATCCCCACCCCACACAGATACGGTACAGGTACACACTTTTGATATCCCCACCCCCATAGATACGGGACAGGTACACTTTTGATATCCCCCCATAGATACGGGACAGGTACACACTTTTGATATCCCCACCCCACACAGATACGGTACAGGTACACTTTTGATATCCCCACCCCCATAGATACGGGACAGGTACACTTTTGATATCCCCCCATAGATACGGGACAGGTACACACTTTTGATATCCCCACCCCACACAGATACGGTACAGGTACACTTTTGATATCCCCCCATAGATACGGGACAGGTACACACTTTTGATATCCCCACCCCCATAGATACGGGACAGGTACACACTTTTGATATCCCCACCCCCATAGATACGGGACAGGTACACTTTTGATATCCCCTCCCCCATAGATACGGGACAGGTACACTTTTGATATCCCCCCATAGATACGGGACAGGTACACTTTTGATATCCCCACCCCCATAGATACGGGACAGGTACACACTTTTGATATCCCCACCCCACACAGATACGGTACAGGTACACACTTTTGATATCCCCACCCCCATAGATACGGGACAGGTACACTTTTGATATCCCCACCCCCATAGATACGGGACAGGTACACTTTTGATATCCCCCCATAGATACGGGACAGGTACACTTTTGATATCCCCTCCCCCATAGATACGGGACAGGTACACTTTTGATATCCCCCCATAGATACGGGACAGGTACACTTTTGATATCCCCACCCCCATAGATACGGGACAGGTACACACTTTTGATATCCCCACCCCACACAGATACGGTACAGGTACACACTTTTGATATCCCCACCCCCATAGATACGGGACAGGTACACACTTTTGATATCCCCACCCCCATAGATACGGGACAGGTACACTTTTGATATCCCCACCCCACACAGATACGGTACAGGTACACACTTTTGATATCCCCACCCCCATAGATACGGTACAGGTACACACTTTTGATATCCCCACCCCACACAGATACGGTACAGGTACACACTTTTGATATCCCCACCCCACACAGATACGGGACAGGTACACTTTTGATATCCCCACCCCCATAGATACGGGACAGGTACACTTTTGATATCCCCCCATAGATACGGGACAGGTACACTTTTGATATCCCCACCCCCATAGATACGGGACAGGTACACACTTTTGATATCCCCACCCCCATAGATACGGGACAGGTACACTTTTGATATCCCCTCCCCCATAGATACGGGACAGGTACACTTTTGATATCCCCCCATAGATACGGGACAGGTACACTTTTGATATCCCCACCCCCATAGATACGGGACAGGTACACTTTTGATATCCCCACCCCCATAGATACGGGACAGGTACACTTTTGATATCCCCCCATAGATACGGGACAGGTACACACTTTTGATATCCCCACCCCCATAGATACGGGACAGGTACACACTTTTGATATCCCCACCCCACACAGATACGGTACAGGTACACACTTTTGATATCCCCACCCCCATAGATACGGGACAGGTACACTTTTGATATCCCCCCATAGATACGGGACAGGTACACACTTTTGATATCCCCACCCCCCATAGATACGGGACAGGTACACACTTTTGATATCCCCACCCCACACAGATACGGTACAGGTACACACTTTTGATATCCCCACCCCCATAGATACGGGACAGGTACACACTTTTGATATCCCCACCCCACACAGATACGGTACAGGTACACACTTTTGATATCCCCACCCCACACAGATACGGTACAGGTACACACTTTTGATATCCCCACCCCCCATAGATACGGGACAGGTACACACTTTTGATATCCCCACCCCACACAGATACGGTACAGGTACACACTTTTGATATCCCCACCCCCCATAGATACGGGACAGGTACACACTTTTGATATCCCCACCCCACACAGATACGGTACAGGTACACACTTTTGATATCCCCACCCCACACAGATACGGGACAGGTACACTTTTGATATCCCCCCATAGATACGGGACAGGTACACTTTTGATATCCCCTCCCCCATAGATACGGGACAGGTACACACTTTTGATATCCCCACCCCACACAGATACGGTACAGGTACACACTTTTGATATCCCCACCCCACACAGATACGGGACAGGTACACTTTTGATATCCCCCCATAGATACGGGACAGGTACACTTTTGATATCCCCACCCCACATAGATACGGGACAGGTACACACTTTTGATATCCCCACCCCCATAGATACGGGACAGGTACACTTTTGATATCCCCACCCCCATAGATACGGGACAGGTACACTTTTGATATCCCCCCATAGATACGGGACAGGTACACACTTTTGATATCCCCACCCCACACAGATACGGTACAGGTACACTTTTGATATCCCCCCATAGATACGGGACAGGTACACACTTTTGATATCCCCACCCCCATAGATACGGGACAGGTACACTTTTGATATCCCCACCCCCATAGATACGGGACAGGTACACTTTTGATATCCCCCCATAGATACGGGACAGGTACACACTTTTGATATCCCCACCCCACACAGATACGGGACAGGTACACTTTTGATATCCCCCCCCCCCCATAGATACGGGACAGGTACACTTTTGATATCCCCCCCCCCCCCATAGATACGGGACAGGTACACTTTTGATATCCCCACCCCCATAGATACGGGACAGGTACACTTTTGATATCCCCACCCCCATAGATACGGGACAGGTACACTTTTGATATCCCCCCATAGATACGGGACAGGTACACACTTTTGATATCCCCACCCCACACAGATACGGTACAGGTACACTTTTGATATCCCCCCATAGATACGGGACAGGTACACACTTTTGATATCCCCTCCCCCATAGATACGGGACAGGTACACTTTTGATATCCCCACCCCCATAGATACGGGACAGGTACACTTTTGATATCCCCCCATAGATACGGGACAGGTACACACTTTTGATATCCCCACCCCACACAGATACGGGACAGGTACACTTTTGATATCCCCCCCCCCATAGATACGGGACAGGTACACTTTTGATATCCCCCCCCCCCCCATAGATACGGGACAGGTACACTTTGACATCCATACCCCCACAGATACGAGACATGTACACACTTTTGAAATCCCCGTCCCCAACAGACACACGGACACACACACACACATTAAAGATATTAAAATATTAAACACAACTCTTACTTATATGGTCATAAGCCACTGCAGTTCCCATATGGCCCACATCCCAACCTAACCCACCATAGTTTAAATCACCACCCACCCCAGACCAACGGGCCCATCCTCAAGGATGTCAAATAACACATCCCTTACTAGCTGCCTCTCTTCTTCTAAACAACTAACTATACATTCCTTCCCTAAACCACTATTCACTTCATCCTTCAACTTCCACCCCATAAACACCAACTGGCCCCGTCCCCTCTAACTCCCACCCACCACTCCCTCTAACTCTAACCAACCGCTCCCTACAAACTAGCCCCAACCTCCGAATATCTACCCCACCACACCCCTTCACAACCCTTACCCAACCACTCCCTTCACATTTGCCCACCTCCTCTAAACACCTCCCTATCTCTACCCAACCACCCGCCACCACCACCACCATAGCTGACCTAACTTCTACCTTGCAGGCTGTGACCTACCTGTATGATCAGTATTTCAACGGCATGCTGCGTCGTCGTGTGGTGTGTGTCATTTGGGAGGACAGCAACGGTCAGATCTTCATACAACCTTACAACATCACCTCTCCCCCTAACGACATGTATGTATGGCTTCGTATGACAATCTATTTCAACTTTTTTTTTTTAATTTATGCTATTTTTATACTTATACCCCCCACATACATCTAATATATATATATATATATATATATATATATATATATATATATATATATATATATATATATATATATTATATTATATATTATATATTATATATTATATATTATATACATATAAAATATATTATATATAAACATATATATTATATATTATATAGAGAGAGAGAGAGAGTGATG